ATAGCTGCTTGATCTAAGCAAGCCCCTTCCCCTTCCCCAGACTGCAGCATTGCAAGCGGCCGCCCAAGCAGTGTGCGGTTGTGCAGCGATTTTAGTCACAGCTAAGCAAGAGGCGCCAGTGCTTCAACAGTCTGGATGGACAGGAATTCCTGTATCATCTCCAGCTGCAGGCAGCATGAAACAGCCACTGTTCTGGGACTTTGTACAGAGACTGACCTCTGGGACTACACACACTGCACTGCTACAAGGTTACAAAGCAGCTGGAGTCAGCGGTGAAGCTTAAGAAAGCGAGTTTGAATGCAGTGTTCAGGACACAGACACCTGGTGACCCTTCACACATGCTTTCAGTGACCAGCTCCTTACAGATGTTTTACAAATTTTGTTCATCTTTAAGTAAGACTAAAAAAAAAACCAAACAGAAACAGAGTCCATTCAGGCTGCCAAGAGTTTCAATAGAATGATTCAAGCTACCCAAGATACCAATGGACTAAATTTGGATGATTCCAACAAGAAAACACAGCCTGGAGCCTCCATAACAGGGCAGGCAGCTTTACATACCATCAGCAGCTGGCAGTGCAGAGTCTTCTTCTGCTTTTTCTCCTTCCTCTTCCACCTGCACACCTTCTAAGGCATTTCCCAGCACACCATTTTCCATTCTAAAGGGAAGAGGAGTTTGTTATCCCTCGGATATTTAATACCATTATTTGAACTGCACAAGCTGCAACACCCCAGCCCATCCCACCCAGGGCAATCCTGTCACACCAGACACACTCTTCACCAAATGACAAACTGTCACCATACCTTGCCAGCTCCAGGAGAGATTTTCCATAATAAAAAAAAGCTTCTGCACACTCATCCGCTGTCTCACCGTACTTTTTACCCCTACAAAAATAATAAGGAATTATTTGTCTGTGCCTACTTTAGATTTGGATATGTGAACTTCAACATTAAATATTGCTAGACAAAAAGATCTCTTTCTTGGCTGGTTTCCCATTGCTTTAAACAAATATTGAATGCTTCTCTCAGTTACATATGGCTCTCAAACACCCAACTGAGGAAATTAATACTATCATTCCCAGAGACTGACCAAGACCAGTGAACAAGTTACTAGAGAAAACACCTGCATAATAAACTATCAAATCCCTTTTCCTCCTTAGGGAACTCTGCTGGCAATGCCTATCACAAAAGCCACCTAAATGTACACCAACTACAGCACTGTCCAACTCTTGGGTGACTTCAAATAGTTTGTCCCCTCCACAGTCACATTATAAATTATAAACATGTTAGGTAAAAATCCCAGTCTTTCTTGCATAATCCACATCAGAACAGCCAAGCTGAAGCCCAAGCCCAGCAAAAACACACAGAACATTCTACTACTCACAGTAAGCTTGCAGCTTCCTGGAATGCATTCACAGCAGCTGGAATATTTCCCATTACCAAGTGCTTCTGTCCCAAACCCAACAGTTTCTTTGATTCTCCATCCACATCCATACTGGAGGAAGGGGGAATAAATCAAATAAAGGATTCTGTCAATTTTCACAGTAATTTTAGCTTTCAAAACTTAGTCTGCTTTATGGAATAGAGAGTTGCATGCATTACAGTGGTTGGAACTACCAGTGTAGGTGGGATTTGTTTGTTTTTATTTGTGTAAAACTGAACAACAGATAGTTCCAATAAAGGGGAAGACAGGTAAATTTATCCAATCACTGTAACAAGTATCAGAATCTGCTGTAACAAAGGCTGCTAAAAAATATACTTTAGGAGTTACACACCAACACACCACAGAGCACCAGTGCTCCAGACTCCAATGCTAAATCAAGAAGAACAAACTCAAGTTAAAACTTATCATAGCACAGCATGGTGCATCTGAGAAGAACGGCAGATGCAAGTGTCAGTTTCAATGCAGGGCATCTTGCACAGCTTCATTTCCAGAAGGTCCAGCCCAGCATCTCACACTGGGACAAGAGGAGCTGCCCAGAGGAATACAATCTATCACAAGCCAGCTACATACTTGTGCCTCTCCAGCACTAATTAAGAACCCAGACACTTCAAGAACAGCTGGTATTTTTGTAGGTATCAGTCTCTGAAAAGGCCTTGATGCACTAGATGTGTGCAAACCACTGATGAGCACAGGTTTTCAGCACCTACATCACACATGGGAGTTAACGCCAAGTCAAAGAAGCAATATGAAGGGTGACCTTCGCATTTTACACAGTAACTCCAGGATCTTGTGTTATTTCAAATTGACAGTTCCAAATCCCATCTCACCTGTCTGTCTTGTCCGTGGATGTGGAAGGAGCTGCCAGTTCCTCTTCCATCCTGCAAACAGAAAATCGAACGTTCTTTTTACTGACGTTCAGAGCCGGCCACCCATTTCACGGCACCAGCTGAGCTCTCAGGGGTGCGAAAGCAGCACCAGAGCCTGGATCAGAGGTGCCGATGCACCCGGAGCGGGCCCAGGCCCCTGGGTCGGGTGTTTGCGGTTCGAGGGGAGGCTGCGAGGGGCTCTGTCAGCCCCGGCCCGGCGGTCCCCGCAGACAATGGGGCCTTTCCCGCCTTCCGCCGGCCCCGCCCCCCGCCCTTGGCGCCAAACCCCGGCGGCGGCTCCTCACGGGCCGCCGGTCACGTGACACCGCCCCCCCCCCCCCCCCCGCGGCGTCGGCTGCCCCCAACAAAGATGGCGGCGGCCGCGCAGCGGTCACGTGGTGGCTCCGCGCGAGCCGCGCGGGCCCAGCTGGCGCCGGAGGAGCGGGGCGGCGGCACGTACCACCGGCGGCGGGGGGGGGACGGCGGAGGCAGGTACCAGAAACGGCGAGGGGGGGACGGGGGACGCAGGTACCACTGCCGGCGAGGAGGAAAGGGGGGGGAGGGGGGGCGCAGCTCCGCCACCCTGACCAGCACCCCCGGCTCTCCCTCTTAGGAAATCCGGCCCACCGGCCCCCTTACCCCCCATCTCCTCCGGTACCCGGCGGCCCGAAGCGCCCCCCTTCTCCCCTGATGCCCCCCGGCCCCGACACGCACACACCGTAACCGGGGCAGCCCGCGCGGCCCTACCTAGTCTGGGAGGCCGGCGCGGGCTCAATGCAGGGGGGAGCGGCGATGGCCGAGGATTGCATAGAAGCTGCTGGAGAGAGGGGCGGCGGCGGCAGAGTGCAGCCCCCTGCCCCTCCGGCTGCCTATATACCCCCGAGGACACGCCCCGGCCCGCCTGGCGGCGCGCGCGCGCCGCGGGGGGACTACCGCTCCCGGCACGCTGCGCGCCCGCCCCGCCGCGGGACGCCGGGGGCGCCGCCGCGCGGGGCACGCTGGGAAGTGTAGTGCCGGAGAGGGAGGCGGGGTCCCGCGGGGCATGCCGGGAGGTGCAGTCCCGCTCCCTCAGGCCGGCTGTGGGATCCCCTCAGCCCCAGCCGGGGGCCCGCGAGGCTCTGGCGCCCCGGCCCGGGCGAACAGACCCCGGGTGTGTGCCCAGCTAACGCAGATGCTCGGTTCTCCCCTGAGACATGAACACAAGAGCAGGCAGGGCTGACATGGCCGCTGCCCTGTCACAGCACAGCCCGCCACCAAGACCTCCAGGTTCTGCTATTTCAAGGTAAAAGTTCTCCGGCTTCAACCCTGCTTTGTCCCTCCCTGCAGGAACAGAGCTGGGAAGTGTGGGGGTCACGGAGTTACAGCATTCACGTGCTTTTCTTGGGAATTCTCCCAGCCCAATTAGGTACTCTTGCTCACAGAAATAACTGGACAAAGTTAATTGGGGCCTTGATAAGAGGGAGGGAAAAAGTCTCAAAGTCATACAATGAGTACAGAATTTATTTAAACAAGCAAACATGCAAGTGAAGCAAGCAAGAAAAACCACGGTCCTTGGCAGGATGACTGCAGTCTGCAGAGTGCCTTCAAACTACAATTGCTTACCTAATGATTGCTAAAAGAACCGTATTCAAAGTCACCATGTTTGAGTAGAACAATTAAAAAAAACAACAAGAATTTAATTTTCCTCAGGAGAAAATATCCATTCTAGTAAAGAATCCTAAATGAGGTGCAATGGCTTCCTGCACTGAGGCAAATTCATCCGGAATTAGGAAACATTTTACAAAGGACCAGCAGTTCCTGAAATTTTGCCTGCGGTTTACAAGGAGTGATAAATGGGTGTCACTCTTTTTTTTTTTGCAGTTCAGCTGCACACTGTGAGGCCCAGGGCAGGAATTACCTGAGAAGGCTTTACACTCAAAATGAATCCATAGATCTGCTATAAGCCTATTGCAAATGAGGGTATCCAAATTAAAGTGTCTAATTCTTTAACTTTTGAACTATTTAGTATACAATACTATTTTTCTAATTGCTTGCTACTACTATGGGAAAAAAATTAGTCCTATTTAACAGGTAGAGTAAAATAAAGTGTTGATGTTACTAAGGCCACAGAAAGTGTCACCACCAGAGCACAGGTAGGTACTAACACCTCATGCCCTTTGTGCTCAGATGACCAGCAATTCCTTACGAGCCTGACACAAAAGAAAACTGTGCTTAGAGTTCCAAGGGTGCATCAGCACTCAGCAAATTAGTCCCTGCCAGGGGAACACAGAGACATGGCCAGTAGGAAAACAGGCACAAAAGGCAAATGACTCACCCCAAGTTACCAGCAGCTCAGTGGTACAGCAGGAGACAGGAGCAGCTCTCCTCAGCATCAGCCAAAGACATTTTTTGGCAGCAGCCAAAAATGCAACATTAAAACATTGGGAGCTCTGAAAGGTCTTCAGTCTTATTGTACAGTTAGGAACTAATTTTGTGACCTTCCAGAACTCAAAATGGATGTCTTTGGTAAAGAAACACTGGACAGCTTCACGGGAAAAGCAGGATGTTTTCCTGCAAGACTTGCTGAAAAGTTCTTGTGGTTTTTGTGATAGGATCAGAGCTACTGTCAGAGCTGAAACCCAGCACTATGACAAGCAAGAGAGAGAATTGCCCTGAAGGCCTGCTCCAGGGTCTGCTTTTATTCTGCTCAAATCTACAGGCAAATTAAAACAAAGAGAAAATTGACAACTCTAGGTCCCAAAAGTACTATGAAGTGGAAAAAAGCACTGGGCATGGCTGATTACTTGGTTTTAATGCATGGTTTATGGACATAGTGCAATTGTAGCACCTTTCACTTTATTCCCTTTGTAAAAAATTATTAATAAAGATATCAAAGTTGATGGCTGAGCAATTCTTTAGCCTTAAAAAACTTTCACACCTTCACCCTTTTTTTCCCTCATCATGGTAGTAACTGAAGTTTTCTAAACCGTTTCACAGTAGGAACCAAAGTAATGCCCTTGTCTGATAACGATGTGATTGGAACTTGGCTTAGACTCCTTCACTCTTTATCTAATCTCCAAAAGATCTGATGCCTCCAGGAGCCAGCCAGCAGTCATTGTGATAAATCCACAAACTTTGGAACAGAAGCTACAGGATCTCCAGGCAGGAGGTGGATTAGAAGCAGTTCATTGTAGGAAAACCCCCTTGGGAAGGAAGGTTTTAATTTGGACAGTGGCAACTGTCAAAAAATCGTGGCAACAATTACTCTGTGGAAAGGCAATTACTGGAGCATTACTTTAACACCTTGTTTTCCAGCAGTTAATAGGGCTCATTGAAGGGGTAGTGGGGGTGTCCAGCATCTCTGGCTACAAGCTTTCCATCCACCTGTGAAATAAACAAAACAGACTCAGGTCAGAAAGATAAAATCCACTCTTACTTGCAGTTTTAAGTTCTCCATGATTTAGATTTCTAAAACTTTGTATCCCAAAAATCTGGGAGTACATTTTTCAGCTTAAACATGAGATCTTCCCTCTACTCTCAGGTCCTCCTAGCCTTTCTTGAAAGAAAAGACACTTCTGTAGCCTAGAGCAAGAGTCTCTCACTGCAGAGACTTGAAGAATTAGACTAAGGGTAGTTAAAAGCCTTGTGCCTTGTAGGTGTTACTGAGTAAGTGCTGTAACATGCACACTTCAAACACTTTATTGGAGTTGGAGCCTTTGTCCATGTTTCCATGATAGAGAGATGCTGGGCTGCCAATTTTAGAGATAAAGATGAAACATTGAGAGGTTTGTTCAGGGCCATTTACTGAGGCATTAAAAGTGTCACTGAACTCCTTTTAGGAACATTTCCACAGAAGACCAACTTGTCCAGCTGTAAAATGGGAGCACAATGTGAAACCAATATTCACAGATAACCAGAGGCTTGGGCTGGCCCAAAACCAGACATGGCCATGCAGAAGTCTCAGTTCCTACATCCCACTTGCATTTATTTCTGTTGCACCAAGTCCATTGCAACACCCCCAACTTCCGTGTGGCTGAGGTAAAACCTCATCTGTAACTTTTGGGGAAGTCTGGGTGCAGCACTGGCCCACAGCACACACCTCCCCACATGTCAGGCAAGCACCATCCAGCCAAAACCTAAGTTAAACAACTAATGCCTCAATAAAAGTTATATTAGAGAAATCCTTGATTTTATACATAAAAACGTGATGGGAGTGATCACTCGAAATGCTATGAGCACAGAGGAAATCACAGGGACTTCCAAACCAAGTATCCACTAGCAAGTGTCCCATTAGCTTTGAATACAAAACCTGCCTTTCAAAGGGACTGGAATTCCTGCAATGAGCTGTTCAAATGAAAGGAGTCACCTGGGGGCACTGCAGAGCACAGAACGGAGATGTCACCGTGCGACATTTGACTAACGCTCCAATTAAAATAGACCTGCAGAGAGGCTCTCAGCTGAAGGCAATCCTTAAAACAGGACAGAAGTGTCACAGCAGCTTCAGCTTTCCTCAAGTTCTCTTGAATGCCAACAGCTTCCTCATGTTCCTAGAATTCATATTCTTCACTCTCCCCCCAGTTCTGTCCCCCTGCATATTTGTCCACAAAGAACAAGGCAAGAATTCTTGTTCACAGCAGGCCAAGACAGCAGCTGCCAGAAGCAATGTTTCACATCACTGATTCCAGTCTGCTCCAGGAATGTGAGAGAAATGGGGGGATAAAATCAGCAATGAACACACCTGCAGGTCAGCAGTAGCTAACTTTTAAAAACAGCTCATGATGTGCTCACTACATTCCTCCTCTCCTGGCCTGACAATCATTTAAGTTTCACTTAAGTATATTCCTTGGCCAATTATATGTTTCCAAAGGTTTGGATTTCAGATTGGTGCAAGGTAACTTCCAAACTCTATCCAGATAATGAACAGTTAAAAGTATAAAGCAACTTTAATTGTCTACATGCAGTGTAATAGCCTTCCCTTAGGCTTTAAACACACACAATGAGGAAGAGAGTGGCACAATTTTAAGAACTTGTGGCTATAGATCAATGAAATAAAGCCAAGAAGAACTGTCTCATCAGTTATGATAGGAGCTCTCTTGTCACTGTCATATCACACTTTGAAATCCAGACACTAAGATTCATAGCAGAGATAGGCATGAAAGGTTAGACAGGAATTTTAATTCACAGTTGATGAAAATTCTTTCCAATAAGCCCAGAAGGGATGGGCAGGAGACAAAAGGTTCCATTAGAGATCTTAGAGCTACAGAGCTGTGATTTAACTGCACTCATCTTGCTTCTTCCTGTCTCATTATCTGACAATATGGCAATATCTTTGAAGCCCAGCTGCATCACACTCACCCTTTCTCAAGCTGGATGGGCTGCCACTTTGAACTGTATTTCATCTCTCCTTTGTGAATCCCTGTGATCTGATCGGGTCTCCCAGGTAACAAAAGCACATGAATTATCCCTGGCTCATTCAAGCCAGGCTTAAAATACATTTTAATGTATTTTGCAGTTTCATTAACAAAACAACTTTGTTTGCAGCATGAGTAGCAAAACACTTGAAAGAAACATATTGTCAGCAGCAGGTGTGCTTTTCACTACCCCATTGTCACAGATCAGCAGCTAAGCTGCTTGTTTGGTGTACAGACTCCTGATCCATAAACACAGAGAGAATTTTGGCTGCAGGGATGTGAAGGTTTATATTTATGCACATGTACTGCTAAAAGGATGGCCTTGAGGCTCATGTAAGCATGACAAACAGTGAAAGCTGTAACACATACCTACCCTTGATATGAGACAATCATTCCCACACATTCACAGCTTCTTTTCTAACTTGGGCTGGTCACTGATATAGTCTCAAGCATTCAAAAAACCCACAATGATAAATCCTGGAGAAAAGCTTTCCCCAAGGAATTCCTACAGCCAGCAGCCACTGCTGAAGGATAATTTACAGGCAAAGCACTGAAGAGGCCAGGCTATGCCTGACAGCTCCCAGATTTGCTGAGATTTCCTGTATCTGTACATGTAGTGTATGGCAGAGGAGGGATAAATTACTTCAGATTCATTAGAGCACAACTACAGCAACTTGTTACAGTGGCCATATCCTGGCCAGGGATGCACCATGGAACAGCAACAGCTTTCTGTTGTAAAGTCAGAAGCAGGACAAGAAGAAATGAGAAACACTATAAAGACAGGAGATAAGAAGGCATTGACTTGGCATTTTGCCATGAGGGAAAAGGAACAAGTTTAGTTCCTTTCATGTAATAAAGGAAAGACCAAGGGGACTTCAATGCTTACAGTGCAGCAGCTTCTCCAAAAACAAACTGGCATCTGCTAGCACATGAGGTAAGGGTTCGTGTGACACAGTAAATTACTGATGCTAGAAGATTCTGCAGCTAATGAAAGAAAAATAGAAGAGCCTAATCCAAACTCCTTTCATAGAGAAAGGTCATTACAACAGACTCTGAAAAGGGGGACGTGCAGCAGAGGGAAGGGGATGAATTCCCTGATGTGACTTCCACCATGGATGTGGAGAAGCAGCAGCACCCTGAGGCTTCACTGATCTTAGAGGTTTTTGGTACAAAGCAGACAGTGACAGCTGGCACAAGGAGTACTTCTGGAGGAATGCCATGGAGCTTAGCCTGCTTGGACTTAGAAGAACAAATCAGCAGGAGTTTGGTGAGATTTGAAGATGGGACTCTGACTTAAAGACCCATGGGAGTCAGTAATGAGAACTCAAGAGAGAGCCACCCATGCCCAAAACAGAGGACGAAAGTTTTTAACAAGCTGCTTTTTCTGTACCCAGCTTTTGAAAAACTCTTTCATCTTAGATACCCTAAGAAGATGCAGTGTTCTTATGAGTCAGTAGTTCTGATGGGAACCCTAAAGAAACAAAACTGTAAAAAGCCCAAGTGGTGGCCTCGTGCACATAATGAAAACTATTAGAAACACAAGAAATTTACCGTAATCATTGGCACGATGTAACGCCAGTTTTTATTCAGGTTTCCAATGTGGCTCATCTCCTCTTCTGTGAGGCTGAAGTCAAACACCTGAGAACAAAAGCCAGAGGCTTTATTCAATAACCATAGGTTGCCATCAGTTTGTTTTCTGCTAATAAATGTGAAATTGCAATTAAACTCATAGCAAACACCAAAGCAAAGGCTTAAAGTCTGAGCTGTTCACACACCTTCCAGCTCTAAGCTTACACTGGTACTGCACAGTGCTCTGCCACTAAGGTAGAAAGCAGTTTCTCACAGTAAGTGCTGCTTATTCAATAAATATTCTGTTTCCATGTAGATCTAAACCTTGAGCAACTGTAGAATTTATAGGAATTTGTTGAGATTTCTAGCAGCACACTACATGCCAGAATTCGGATTAATGGATGTAACAGTTACATGAACAACTCTTTACTTAAAAACAAGTATGTAACCAGCCAATCTTTATGAAAAAAGATCCAAGGAGGTGATTCAGAAACATCCCTCAAGATTATTTAAAGTCAGGGTTTTCAAATAATTTCTGAAGTCTCTACTTCAGAGCAGAAGTGAACCACACTCCTTCAGCATCACTAGAATGGCAGTTTGCTGGAGAAGTACTCACCAGTCCTCACTTGCAGGACAGAGCAACTATTACTCATAAATAAGAGTCACTGAGCATAGTTAGAAGACTCCCTATTTCAATAAATTTGCGTCTCAAAAAAATTTAAGTACAGATTTTTCATTTAGACCTCGACAAAGTACATTCTTTACCTTCTGATAACAAGACTGTGCATGTGCACATTGCACACACACACGGAGTTGCTCAAAACACATCCTTTGTTTTGAAAAAGCATCTTTACCCTCCCTGCCCAGCGTGTGCATACATTGATGAACAAGTATGAACCAACTGCCTCAGCTTGCTGCTCTGCAAGTTGTAGGACAGCACAGCAATTACTCACATGGAAAGTGCATTTCTGAAACTCCTCTCCTCCATTTCAGCTTACCTGCAGATTCTGCTGAATGCGAGCAGGAGTGACACTCTTGGGAATGACAACCACTTTACGCTGCACTTGCCACCTGCAAGAGGAGGTGAGAGGCTTTGTCTGTGCATGCATCCAAGGACAGTAAGTATTTCTTTTGGTTGAGTAATAATCTCTGGCAGCAGAGATGCCACTTCTGTGAGATAAAAATCTCCACAGGAGTAACACAATATTGTACTAGGACCTGGTGTACCCAAGCTAAAGCAAGACAGTAACAACTGAAATAATTAGAGAGGAGCATGTCTCTGATTAATGAAGCACCCAGGTTTCAACTGCTTTAAGCTAAAAGCCCAAGAAACAGTCAGAAAAACATACTTAGGCATTTTAAGCAAGTTCTAACCTGACAACCACTCAGAAAGAAAATGAAAACCCAGATCCCTAAAATGCCTGTCTAGTGGCTTGAACACAAAATCTTGAACACATTCAGCTCTCTGGGTAATGTGCTACTGCCCAAGACTGTGGTAGCGACACTGGATACAAAGCCAGTCAAGAAAAATGAGGATAGAAATCCAATTTTAGTTCACAAGGTGCTGATCACATTCTGGGTATCACTCAGTCACCTTGTTTTCTAATATCCAGTACCTGGCTATATAAAAACAAAACAGCAAATAGTTCTTCAGTGCAAAGGAGGCAAGTCTTCCTCAGCCCCTCTTCCTGAGAGCCCACCTGAGTGCAGCAGCAAGCACTAGAGGCTTCAGGGAACCAGCCAGATGCAAATTCAGTGGGCAGCACTCAGACGTGGTACCCTGCTGCCTTAACTGTCCTACTGCTATTTCCCAGCAGAAAAGGTACTGTCCCAGCCATGGCAACAGTCCATGTGAACTATCTCAGACATGGATCCAGGCCCTGAATGGACCCCTCTGATCTAGCCTACCTGCCCTAAGGCAGGACCAACTCTACCAGTTTTGTAAAACAAGCACCAAGTGGGGTTTGCTTTTGACACTCCCTGTGATTTTAACCCCTTCCTGACACACTTTTAAGTAGACTCCTTCTAGCTTGTACGTTTTGCTTGACTGAAGGCTGGGTCCCAAACACCACCTCTCTCACAGTTATTCTGTACCTGAGAACAATCTGTGCAGGTGATTTGCTGTATTTTTCAGCAATTTTTTGGACCCCAGGTTCCTCTAGCAGCACAGGCTCATCCGGGTGTTTCCACATGCGATCCGGAGAGCCAAGGGGACTGTAGGCAGTGACCACCAGCCCTCGCTTCTGGCAGTGAGCAATCAGCTCGTTCTGAGCTAGGTAAGGATGGCATTCCACCTGTTAAAATGACCCACAGTGAGTGGCTACAGAACAGATATCAACATACAATGAAGCAAACAGGAAGTCAAGCACAAAAGAACCAAACATATCACAGGAATTCATTCCAGATTCCAGAAAACCTTATGAGGATAAGTGTCGCAGACATTTTTTCACAGAAATCCTTTCTTTGGGATTTGTGCATCTTCTGGGAAGCAAAGGCCCCAGAAGAAGAATGTAAACAATTGTTATCAGCTGCTGTGAAATGCAATAGGATGCACCTGTGATTGGTTCATGTTCCATGTGTACAATTAAGGGCCAATCACAGGACCAAGCTCGGGGACAGATTCCCTGGATACAGAACTTTGTTATTAATTCTTTTCTATTCTATTCTTAGCTTAGCAGCATCTGCAACTTCTCTCCTTATTCTTTTTAGTATAGTTATAATGTATTATATATCATATATCAATAAATCCAGCCTTCTGATCAAGAAACAAGATTCTCATCCTTCTCTCACCCCAGTGACCTCCTCAGGTCGCTGTAATAGATAAGGTTTAAGTTAAGCTTAGTAACTCAAGTCACTACCAGGAGAAAGAAGTGTCTGGTGGGCTAAGCTTATATGAAACAAAGAACAGATTGCCTAAGCTTGGTGCTGGACTTTCCCTTGGTACCAAACAGATCATCCAACAAGCAAGGAATTTCTATGCAGTAGGGATTCAATTACTCCCTCACAATCTTTCCTTTTTACAGACTAAATTGTTCCTCACACGGAAGATGAACTCTTCCACAGACCTGTTCATCTAAGCAGGTAAAAATGCCCACAGAACATGGATGTGGGCCTCCTTTCCAATCTGTCTGGAAAGACAGCCTCTGTGTGCCTGCTCCTGCAGAGCTGGCTATATTCTTCCCTGAAAATAAGAAGCTGCACCTCTTGTGCTAAACACACGACATTGGTTAGCAAATTCTTCACTCTTATGGACAAACAGGAAAGATATTTGTCTCCTTTATGCACCTTACCTGGAGCACAGCTGGCTTCACAGTAGCCACACTTAGCACATCATCGATCTGCCGACTGTTGAAGTTTGACAGCCCAATGGCTTTCACAAGACCTTTCTCCACCAGTTTCTCCATGGCCTTCCAGGTCTCCTTGTAATCAATGTAGTCGTAACGCATGGTGTTGTCGGGATTCTTTGGGAAGGGATTGTCCCCTCGTCTGCAGCAACAAAGGTGGAGTGTAAGTACATGCACCCAATTATTTTAGTTCTTCACTCAAAGAAATCTTCCTCATAGTAGTCCTAAAAGTTTCTACATAGTCTGAAGGACAGAGTACAAACTGAATGAATCTGTTCCATTCCATTACATGACTTAACCTATAAGCAGTTATTACACAAGACAGTCTTTGCTACATAAAGTTGTTACACAGCACTTTGAAGTACTCACCTATACAGCAATGACTACAGAGAACTGATAAGCCACTGTACACACAGCAGCAGCTCTTGGCACACTTTGATCCCCATAAAACAGATGATTTAAGGAGCAGCAACTCAGAGGGCAGCTTGGAGTTACTACCAAAGGGATCTGGGTTTAAGAGCTATCTAGGAAAAACTGTATTCAAAGGATACTGGCCTTCCCATTCCCTCTGGATTCTGTAGCTGTGTCACTACTCAATACAAGCACAGATTCTCCCAGAAGTCTTAACATGCACATGTTGTTTATAGGTTGGGTGTGTTTCCTTCCAATTAGTCAACACATTAAAAAAAAAAAAATATATATCACCATAATTACCACAGGACTCAGCTAGCTCAGCAATGAGACTGTTACAGTGCTCTAGCTCAGCAGTGAATGGTGTGAGAAATGGCAGTACATGGGGACAACGGGAGATGGTTCTTCATGTCACTGGTAAATCTAGAACCAAAAATAACTCTGAAAGCCTTATGAGCTCCCAAGTCAGAAGAGAGTAATTTTCAAGACCTAAAGGCACTGTGATTTTTCATCTGGAAGTCTGTTTTCATTTTTTGGTAAATAACATTCCTTGGCTTAGCCTCCCAATGCAACTGACATTATAAATAAGCATACATTAAAACAGTTCCATAGAAATAATGGAAAACTGCAGAGTATACTGTTTCCAATGAGAAAAGAAATGAAACTGCTTTATTACACCGTCAGTTTTGTCAACAATGTCACAGTACAATCTAAATTTAAATATTAGTACTATCTAAACGTACATTATTATTTGTATTACATGCCATTATCAAAACAATGTCTGATGGGGTGGTTTTTTCAAGCAATTGAAAAGCAAACCTGTTGCACAACAGAAGGAATTTTTACAAGCTCTTCCTCCAGACCAGTTTTAGTGAAAAACACTTCCTCATTCTGTTATGCTGAGGAATATATTTATACTTTGAGCATCTTGCATCTTATCATTAGTGTATGACATTCAGTTATCATTAGTGCATGAAATTCAGTTCATATGACAAGAAGGAGAAAAAACATTCTCAGATTTGCAGAACAGAGGCCTCTTAAACTGAAAGGACTTGAGTGAAGACTCCATTCAAACCTTTGGCAAGGATATTTATTCCTCCTGCCTTTTTGTTGATTGTAGTTGGGTGGGGAAACAACTACTTCCACATCTACAAGGAAATAGAGTATGGAACTGTGCTTCTCATGGGATTGTAGGATAAGTGCATTTAACACTTAACTGGAAAGCTTGCTTTTCTCTTATTTTCTCAAATCATAGAATTACTGCAATTTGTGTCATAAGAAGACAATTCACTTCCACCTCATACAGATACCACCACAATACTGCATGTGCTTGTCCACTCACTCCAGTACAGTAAATAACTACAAGTGAAAAGTGTTGTCTTTATGAAGCACTTCATTCCCATTTTACAGATCAGTAGAACTAAAGCACAAAGCAGTTCTAGTATTTTCTCAAGGTACCAGGTAGGCCAATGGCAGAACCAAGAACAGCTGCTACACTTCTCCAGTGCCTAGATGAAGACACTAGACAGTTTTAAAAACCAAAAAACACCTTGCAGGCAGCATAAACAGGAAGGAATTCACAGCTCAGAAAGAACATCCCCAGGATATAACATGAGCCACTTATGTAAAACTGGTGTTTCTGCATTCTGTGCCCTCTGCATCTAGAACTTACTCAAAGGCATGAGGCCAGTGCATGAGGTACAGGTCCAGGTAATCCAGTTTCATATCTCCAAGTGTTTTCCTCAGTGCTGGCTCTACGTCTTCTGGGTGGTGCTTGGTATTCCAGAGCTTTGATGTTACAAACAGGTCCTCCCTTTTAATAACCTTCAAGAAAGGAAGGAGACCATAATATACTGGAGCAAGTTCAGAAAGAGATTTGCAACAATTCCCCAATTTGTTTTAAACAAAGAACAACTGAAGTTTTGTGGTTTGTTATGTTTTTTTTTTTTTTTCTTAAAAAAAGGTAACACATGAAACCTAAAAATGAAACCTTTCAAAAATATACTGGATGAAGAAGAGCCAGAAAAATACACACAGTGGTAAGTCTTAAAGTATATTAAATACTTTAGCAATTAGAAGCCTTGAAAAACAAAAAAATTTCTTTTCACATATTCACTCTTCCAAACCTTCCAATTCAAGGGTTAAAGCCATTACTAAGTGTGATGTGGCCAAAAAAAAGATTACTCAGCTTATTCATATGTAAATTTTCAAATTTCCATTTAACAATTCACATTTTCCAGGCTCAACCAGCTAACTTACTTTACTCATCACATGCTATAAACCAAGATTGCTTCTTGTGGAAAGAGCGTGGGATAATAATCAGAAGATTCCCCAAACTTCTGCATTAGAGTTCCTAGGCTGTGGAAGGAACACACTAAAAACAGAGAGCTCTACCCTGTGTTGGAAGGGTAAGAACCAGAAATAAAACAATGCAGAACTGGTAAAAGTATCAAATGCAAAAGGGAGATCACACTGTGCAAAAAGAAGCACAGAATTCCACCAGAAAGGAGGCTTCTCACTGTCTGATGTCTGATAAAAATTCAGTCAGGTCTATTTTGAAGAATTTGGAATGATTAATTCCTTAGTTTCTCTCTTCCAACTACTCAATTATTTCTGTGTTTCACACAAGGATGTTGTGTTTAAAAGGAAGATTTTAAAAATTCATTTTAAAATAATTTGGATTCAAATTCTAGTTCTAAGTTAGCTAGCTAATATGAACTGAACAAAATGCTTCCCAGTGTTACCACACCTAACAGGGAGGAATCCCTGGGGAGCTGAAAACAGCCTCTCTCATGCACATAACAAAGAGATTGCCCTAAAGCCAAGACAGGAGCAGCAGGAAAGCAAGAACATGAAAACTGCCTTTCCATGGGCTGTGAGGCTGTACAGGTTATCCTTTTGGCCCCTTCAGGGAATAAATTTAAGATTCCACCTCAGCTCATGCATAGGAATGCCTGTCACATTGCATTGTACTTAGGCCTCAAACTCTCAGGTGCAGATCTGGAGTCACATTTATGAGCCTTTCACATGTGATCACTGATATAAAAAATTAAAATTCACCACATTTACTCACTCATATTTTATCTATAACAAAAAACCTACAGTAGATATTTTATAATAAAAAAAAACCCCAAATTTGCTGTGGCTATCTCCCATTGCATGCTAGACTGGAAAGTCAGGGTAACTTTTCATATAAATATTTTACATTACAACTAATGATTCTGGCAACACCAAAGTGTCCAAATTGGGATACTTTGTTAGGAGAAAAGGAGCAGGAAGAGGAAAAAAAGACACCATCACCACCACAAGCATTTTCTGTAGCTTCCATCCAAATATCCCTGACAATCTTTCTTCCCCATGACAGCCAGGAGGTTCTAAGGAGAGAAAGCCCTGTTTCATGCCTTCTCCTGATAAACAGCAAACAGCTGGGGGAGACCAGCAGGCAAAGGCACAACTGTGGCCCTCCCAGGGGACAGCTGTAACCTTGGCACGGCACACAGTGAGCAGGGCAGCTCCGGGGCTCTCACCTTGCTGGGCCCCACGCACTCCTGCAAGGCCTCCCCGATCTCGGCCTCGTTGCCGTAGGCGGCGGCGCAGTCGATGTGGCGATAGCCCACGCTGAGGGCGTGCTTCACTGCCTCCTTCACCTGCAAGCACAAACACACTGCCCATGCAGCCACTGGAATGGCACGTGGCACTGGGGAAAAGGTAAAAAATGCTAAGAGACCTGGTGAGGAACACCCCTCAAAAAACCACAGAGCTGTATAAGGTCATGAGATTCAAACACTCACTCAGGATCGGGAGTCTCTGTGGCACAGTCCTTAGGGAGGAAGAGCAAACTGCTGGCAGGCACTCCAAGAGGAACAAGAAAATGGATCGTGCACACAGGGCCAGCATGCAAGAATGTACCAGGTAGAACAAATCCCTACTCTTCACTACAGTTGTTACACTTGTCTTAAATAAAAAATGAGCTATAAGAAGTGCTTTTCAAATAAGCCATGGATTAGGAAGGCATTTTCTGACCAAAGTGACAAATCAACATCTGTCAAACTTGGAATATACTTCCTCTTGCCCAGTAAAGAAAGAGTCTGGCTTCTAACTCCAAAATCACCACAGTTTGAGTTTGGTTCAGCCACTCACACTTAACTACCAAGACAATGCTCTTTTATGGAACATTTTTCTTTCTTGTCTCATAATTGCACAACAGCAAAAGTCATACTCCTGGGATACTCCTGATGATGCTCACAACTTTACATTCTGCTTTCAACATTGCTGACAATGAAGGTATTGCCAACAGCAACACAACTCTTGCTCCATATTGTCACACAAAAGCCAGAATGGTTTTGGAAACCAAAGCACTTTACTTCAAATCTGCTTTTGAAAGATCTAATGAAGCACAAGCACCAAATATCTTCTCATGGGCGCCTCAAATATGAAGCAAGTCTAGAAACCAGAAGGAAACACAGAATGGCATCTTTGTGAGGACTCCTAAGGAGCTTTTGAAAAAAGACTTTCTCTAAATGATTGTGCAAGAATGAAAAATTACTACAGTTGCCAGTGTAATCATCATCTCCCATTAGGCTGATGACCATTTAGTAAAATCTATTTCATTTAACTTCCAGTGGACAGTTAGCACACATTCTCTCTTATATCTGTCCTTCTGAAATACTACAGAAAGAATAACAATCCCATCTGTTCAGGGATTTCTGTACATTGCCCCTCACTAACTTGTCTCAAGACTGTGGGAGACTGTAAATTACTCTGTATAAGGCTTGATGCAATAGGGCCATAAATGTTAAGTGAGATCACATCTCTCTTGGCATGAGATTAAAAAATTATATTGACAAAGGCTAGAGGGCTACCTTGATTAAAAACTTAATCAAAGTACCAGCATTTTCCAATTTAAAGCTGACAAAATTAGTAATACCAAGCAAAGGTGTTTATAGTCCTGCTTTCAGATGCTATAAAAAGGCAATGGAGAATCAAATGTGAGACCTCTGTCCTGCTGGTGGATTTGATTTGTTCTTCTTGTCAAGAAGTGCAGTAAAAGCAGACACAGGATATTCTGACTACATTCTTTGGCATTTTGAGAGGAAAACTGGAGTGTAGCTCAGTTTCCCTTAGCCAGGATGACAAAGCACTTCTATTACAGCAGTGAACTCCTCCTTTCTCTAGCAGGATGGCACTTACAGTCCTTGTTTCACCTGACAAAGACATTTCTCAGGTCACTACAAAATCAAGGGCAGATAATTCCAAAATCACTTGAGACATAGTAAGGGCTTTTAAGACTCAGTATCTATCCTCCAAAAAGGTGAGATTTGTGGAGAGGGACAGAAAAAAATGTTCTGTGTCTGGAACCCCTTATTTCCTGTATCAGATTAATACTCTTCTTAATCAAACAGGCACAAGGTTTACCATAAATGAAAGTAGGCACCACTCACAGAAAAACAGAGATAAAGCACTCCAAACATGTCTCTGCAAAGCAATCAACAGGAGGCTGTATTTTTTTATCAGCATGTTGTGAGAAATTTCTAGCACTGAAGAACTGGGACTGATAATTTAAATAAGGTTTGGAGCTCACAAAAATAATCTGTATTTGGGTAAGCTATTCCCAGCCTACTAAGACATTTCAATGTGAACTGAGAGCTCCTGTTCCACACAAAAGGCAAACAATCAAGAGGAAACATGCAAAAAAAAGAGGCATTTTGGAGGGGAAAATAATAACATATAGATGTAAGTTTTAAAAAAGTACTTTTTTAAACAAGAAGGTCTGTATTTTTGAGATTAACTTCAGAGAGGTATATGCATTTCATGGTAGGGGGTAGAGAACAAAAACACAACATAGGCAGTTGAAGATATGCCTGTGGGTATTTGTTGTTGTGAAGTATAAATAGCCAAAGGATCCTTCAAACTTTCCAAATTCTTTGTGTTTACATTCTTTAGTTTAGCCTGTCAATACTGCTATGAAAGGAGCAATTTGTGAGTTTACTTTGCACTAGGCAAGTTGAGTCACAAAAATGACTCAAGTGACTCACCAATCCATCCTCACAGAACTAAAAAGCTAGGTCTTACTGTAAAAGTACATCTGAATGGATCTTTTGACATCTCCCAGTCTACCATCAAGGCCCTCAGCTGGGCAGAGTAAATCCAGACCACTCCCACACACATTTGTCATAGCCCTTCTTGTGACAGGCAGTCTATGCCAATGTTTTGAAATCTTTCTGCTCAAAATCTTTTAGACGACTCACCAAGATGGCCCTGATGCCACATCCCATTCCTCCCAGAGATGAAATTCACAGCTTGCCCTTTGTGAGGGCTTTTCCCACATTTGCAAAGTGCACAGCTCCTCTCACACCTCTCTTGACCACATAACTGCAGGTGCTTTTCTCTTTCATCACAACTCACCTTTCCCAAACCTTGCATCTCTGTTGCTGCTGTCTCATGCCTTTCTTGAAATGGTTTGCCCCAAAACAGACACAGGTATTGCAGCTGGAGCCTCATTCTCCTTCACTTTATAGCAAAGTCCAAGGAACTACATTCCCATTTAAACATGCCAGTAAGGGACTTGGCCTTGTCACCCACCTTCTTTTGAAGATGGATGAACACAATATCAGTGGCAGATTCAGATACAACCTGTAAGTCCCCATTAATTATAATATTTATTACTAGATTTCCAATTCTTCAATTTGCTTTTCCCAAGGTTAAAAAACTAACAAGCCATCTTTATACTTCCAGGCAACACACAGTTCAAGTGACCCAGGAGCCTCTTGTGCACAACCCCAAGCCATTATGAAGAGATTTCCACTCTTTACAGTTCAATACTACTGGGAAAGAAAAGGCTCTGACCAGCCACCCCTGCTTCCTGCAAAGCTGACACATTTCAGCAGTTATTTTGCTGAGAGGAAGTAGGAAAAAATCAAACAATCACAATCAGTGCACGTGATGTCCAGATGCACTGTGACCAGAACCAAGTGTTGCTATATCACAGTTTCTAAAAATTGCACTAAAATTGGCTGAAAAGGAACTCACACCATGAGATAAATAATGCCAATTTAAAAGGTGGTGTTCCCTAAAATAAAGAGGTTTGCCTCTTATCCTTCAAATATTGAATATAAGTCCCTTCCTCAGCAGCAGTGAATTTTTTTGTGCCCATAACCAGGATTCTCTGTACTAACAAATTTCAAGAACTAAACATTCTCCCCCGAAGCTGCAACCCTGTCACAAAACCCTGTCTGACTGGTTTTCTGAGGTGCACTCTCCTCAGCTTTTCCAAGGTTTCACATAGAATAGCAGCCCTGTATCTCCCTGTCCCACAGAACCAGCCTCTGCCACTCAGGTTAGGCTGCTCATCAGGTGGGAATCAATCCTCCAGGTTGAAAGCATGGCTCACTTGAGAGAAGAGAACAAAGCATTAAAGGATTACAGCTAATCCAGCTGCAATATCAAAAAGCACAGTACTATATTCTTGATACTCCTGTCTGAATGGATTTCTCTTTGAACTGATTCATGCTGCCAGTTCATAAACTTCTGTACTGTGTTCCCTTCCATTCAACAGCCCTCCATCATATTCCTATGGAAACATGCAAAACAAATTTCTCTTCTAGCACTTGATCATGTAAAACACAAAACATCCTATTGTTTTATATGGTGTCAATCCTATAAAATCCTTTCAACATGGAATTAGATTCAATTATTTTCCCCCTATTAATATTTAGGAAACTGGGACTGCAAAGACACCTTTGTACTGGCCTGCTAAGATCTGTCTACAAGGTCAAGGTTTGTTTACACTCAGGAACAGTAACAGCAGTAATAAAGAAATTACTCAAGCTTGGCAAGGGAAAGAATTACAATCTGCAAAATATTTACCCAAAATAATTTAAAAGCCATCCATTTCCACACTTACTTCTAATGCAGCACTTGAACAAAAGAGCTGCTGATAAATAGCCTCTACTTGGGAAACAGCTAAAGCAAATTTAATCAATGCTAATTCTTCTGCTTCTCTGGGTATTTGGCCCCTATTCTTTAATTCATAATAGCAGTTATTATCCCTGAACTACATCATGTCTTTTAAAGGGTAAATCATCTGGACACTGCCAAATTGCTGCTATGCCCCTGAATTTTCAAAAGTGGTAAGCAGAAATTAATTTATTCCATAGGAATAGCAGCAACTTCTGTAACTCTGGCCCTTTCCACTGCACTTCCTAGATTTTGCCTTCAATACATTCTACAAGGAAGTCTTTGAGGACAGCAGATATTCCAAAGAAGTGACTCCCAGTGACTTCCAAGGAAACCCAGAGAAGATGGCTGGATCCTGTGTGGGGTTCAGCTGCCAGCAGCACTGCTGATTATGGCAAAATCCAACTGAATTAGGTTTAAATTATGCACAAACAGGATCTGTCCTGGTTCTAAAGCCACACGTTTCTCAGAACAATTAGTTCACAGAATAAACAACACATTCATGTTTTGCTTGTTTAGTTTCAGACATTTGCTTTAGACAAAGCATATTTAACTGTTTTGAGTGCACAGAAATTCATCCATTAAGTTTGTGCATGTTAACAAACTTAATTCAGCTGCCATTTGATGTTTTAAGTGGCAAAACTGCACATTCATCCTTTTCCTCATTTAAGAGGTTGACTGAGCTCACACACCAACTCAGCTTCCACATTAGTACAACTATTCCCAACAAATCCACTGTCCTGACAGCTGTTTGGACAGGAAAGCCCACAGTAAAATGGCTCTGAATAGATTTAATTTTCATAGCTTGTTTCCCACCTTTTCCTCTAGCTGGCACAAGAGAATTGCACATCTTGAGAAGAGTTTTAACTTTCCCTCTCAGTCGTGAGCACAATGTCATTCAATATGCTCCAAAAAACATCATAAACCTCACACAGGAGTAGCAGTGAGACATCCATTTACTGCACAGACATGCAGTGGTGTGCATAACCCAGAGAAGCTGTGGATGCCCCATCCCTGGAAATCTTCGAGGCCAGGGTGGATTGACTTCTGAGCAACCTGGTCTAGTGTAAGGGTCTCCCTGCCCACAGCAGGGAATTGGAACTAGATGGTCTTTAAGGTCTCTTCCAACCCAAACCATTCTGTGATTCCACAATTCTTTGCATACCAGCTAGGAATTCCACCAAGCAGTGGGCATTACCTTTCACAGGAAGTACGTACAATTTCTTCCCCAAAAAATGTATAGTTTAACTAAATGAAAGAGATACAAAAAGACAGACAAAGGGGAGAAGCATTACAATAGCAGGCACACCACGGAGCACATAAACATTCCCACAGACTGTTTGTAGTAACACACAGAATTGTTTCCAAGTGTGGTGTTTGCCAATTCACTGCATTCAGAAGCAGAGTGAATGTCTAATGATACATGAGCCTTCTTATTCTGAAAGCAGGCTGACCCAAGCAAGTTCTTTGTTTTCCTGCTAACCATTGGCTGGCAGCTGGAACAGGACTTATTACAAGAACAACTTGAGTTTCTGCCTCCCAAAATAACGCTTTCTGCTGAGTCATCAGCCTAAGCCAGAGAGGTGTCTGGTCAGACTGGCAGCCTGAGGACTTGCCAGTGGAAGAGTCCAACACCACATTATAGAAACACCATTCACTGGTCTTCTTCTGGGTTTATGTCCCAGAGCTCCACTGCCCAAGGCCAGGGCTAAAGGGTCTGAAGGGATCTTCCTTTCTGGAAAGATCTGCTGTCTTTGTGTCTTAGGCCTTAATCAGGCACATACATACATTCAAATACACACATACATACATTCAACTTCAGTGGACTCAAGACTAGAACAGTTCAAGCAAAGGAACCAGGCCTCAGATCTGGGACCTTCAGAAAAAGTGCACAAACACAAACACACATGCTAGTTGAGAGCACAGTATCCTACTGTTCCCCACTTACTTGGCCACGGTCACTTTTCCAAGTTCCCAGTCCCACGAGAGGCATCTTCTGCCCAGTGTGGAGTGTAACGAAGTCACACGTTGCAGGCATTTTTGCCTAAAGAGTAAAAAGAACAAAGAGGTTTGCAGCAATTCTTTAAGTTGCAAAAGTTGCAACAATTTACTTTTTCTGCTCACAGTGGCAAAGTTTTTTCAGCAGTTTCCTTTCAGCAAAGGAAGGGCTTACAGCATGTCCAAACATCCTCACAATCTATGTTTCTGCTCAAACAGTTAAAAAGAAATTGCATTCAGGATGAGCTCCAAAGCTGGCTAGCTGATTTCAGCTGATTTACTTCCCAAGCTCTACTGCATCCAAAAAAAAACCAAAAAGCAACAAAAATAACCAAGAGTGGAAGAACACAATGTTAGTTACATCTGACTGTGTAGGAGGAATGGATGTTTCCAGAGTTCAGCATCCACATAGCATACTATCCCAAAATAGGTCTGCCTTCTCAGTATTGTCATTTTCCTCACATCAGGTCCCAGCTGATGGATGTGTTCACACAGAGTTTATGCTTTCAATTTCTTGCTCAGTTTCTCAAGCCATACTTTTGTAGATTTAATAGCAGACACCAGATAGCACACTTGTTTTTCAGAGGGACATACAAGAGCAGTTGGAGTGATCCTGACCTGAAGGCCATTGTACACCAATGGGCTGGGGACCCCTGTGACAGTTAACCTGAGTAGGTCCAGGCTCATCTTGTGCTGCACTTCATGCCCAGCCTGGTGCTGTGGAATGCACAAGTTGCAGGATAAGCTCAGTAGCAACCTGTAACAGGAGTCTGCACTTTGTACCTGCAATTATGCTACCTATGTGTCCTTGCATTTATCTAAAAATGCAGGAAGTTCTCCTGCAAGCATCCTTTCTGTCTGACAGCAGAAATTATGAATAGAGGTGTTTTCTTGTAAAAGAATCCCCAGCAGTTCAAATGACCAAAATAGGGTAACCCCTGCTATGGACAGGGTCTGCACACTGTGCTGTGAGAGATCTGCCCAATGCTGCACAAGCTGGGGCTCCCAGCACCTGAAGGGATGCACAATTATCAACACTCTCCTCTTTCTTTAAAGGATTAGCTCTAAAAAACATAATTTGAGATTATACCTTAGAGTCTGAGTGCCTTTCTTGTCAGGATTGTAATGGGCCAGCACCTCCTGGTACAAGGCAATCATTACACTGAACTAACAGCCCTGGATTTCCACTGAACTAAGTCCAGCTATTGGTGCTGAAGACAATCACTGGTGAACCAAACTGCAGGTGTACATCTGTTTTATTGGGGTAGGAGGTCAGAGAAGACAGGGTGATGGTGCCAACAGTATTCTCTTCTATTCTGAACTTGCACAGCCATTTTGTAGCCAGCTACATGCAAGTGGGTGTTGAATTTAGTCGCCTAAATAAAGACATCTTCTTGCATCAAGCAACACAACTAAAAATGCAAGTCTTTTTCATTCACTTTGGTCTATAATACAAATAAGATACCAACTGTATGCTTTACACAACCATGTTATGCAATCATCTTAAAGGTAAGAGTTCAGCTCAGAAGACAAGGTACACGTTTAATCGGTAACTAGCATCAGCACATTTTTAAGAACCATCTTGCTTCAGGATTGGACATTAACACCACAGAGAGATTTGAACTATAGCCTCTGGAAGAATGGAACACATCAGAATGGCAGACACTGGAAAAAAATATGTTAATTAATACTTTCCACTTAGATTCTTCCCTAAAATAGGGAATTTAGCAGAATCACACTTATGATGCTAGCCGTAATTATTCAGTTCATGAAAAAGCTGAAAACCGCTTCTTAGAAGGGCAGAGATAAAAACAAACATAAAAGCAAACTAATTCTGGACAAGTAATATATGGTTATGGCTTAGCATCACCAGCCTACTGCCACATTCACATAAAGGGATTAAAGCTCAGAGTAACTTAAGGACAGTGTAAGGTTGGGCGGATGCATCAATAACCACAGCAATGCAAACTACCCCGGTTCATCAACCCACAGCTACCGCTCATTTTTAACCCAAAGCAACGAGTCTTCAGCAGTAAAGCAACCATAGCTATGCACGCCATTAATATGTATAGATATGCAAACAGGTACATATTAGCAATACTTAAATCGCTGTAACTGAGCAGCTTCTGCCGCACAGATCAGGGGTAACCCCTCCGCATTGTGGCTCCCCAGAGGGACAGAACGCGCCCCCGTGCCCCTTATCGGGGCGGCGCAGGGCGGGCCCGCCCGGCGCGGGAGGGCTGATACGGCGGCCCCGCAGCCCCCGCAGCGTTCCCGCACTCACCGCCGGTACCGACCGCTGCTGCCGCCGTTACTGAGGCTGCTGCTCCCGCTGCTGCTCCGGCTGCTGCCCGGCCCTTCCGCTTCCGCCGGGAACGCGCCCCGGGCCGGGGCAGCGCGGGTGCCGCTGTCGGGTTCAAATGTGAAAGTCCATCCGCGGGGGTTTAGCGGGGCTGAGCTGCCCTCGTGGCTCTGTCCCCGGCTCCCCGGGACAGAGACCCGCTCCCCGTAACTCATCGGGCCCCCGGCACCGACCCGCTCCTGTTTCTCATCGGGTTTGCCCCGCTGATCTCCCCGGCCCTCCGGCCCGGTTCCCGTCGGGAAGCTCAGGCAGCCCCAGCCTCGCCGCTCCCGCCGAGCGGTGAAGCGATAAATGCGATGGGCTGCACCACACGGGGGAAAGCGACAAAAGATAACCGTGGCCCATAAATTCCACAAGAAGGGTTTGCATCTCCCCGACTGCTGTTTGTCGCGGCCTCTTGAAGCCTTTTCTACTTGTAGGAATACCGAATATACCCAGTTTTATTTGCAGACCTATATAACAGGAATCCAGGGGAAGTGAAAGGCTGATTGCACTCACTTTGCTTCAGCTTTTGTGCTCTAAGGTGTATAGAGAAGCGGCACTTTCCGAGAAGGCTGGGGCTCCTGGAATTCATTTCCTTGTTTGCTCGGGACAGCGATGAGGTTAAAGCAGGCTGGTTCAGCTGAGTGCTTTCACTGCTGCCCCAGGGACAGCCCTGTTACTGGGAAGTCAAAGCCTTCCGCTGAAACAGACTTTGGCCTGTAATCGAGAATCAACTGTGCACCCAATCTTAAACACAACTAAAAACTGATAATCAGCTTTGACTTTTACTCCAGGATTCCATCTTTACAAGCAATTTATAAAGATTCAGAACTTAGAGGAAGATTAGATCAGAAATAAGACCATTGATACCTCTGGTGGGGCTTTGAAGAGCCTGTTACTTATTTCCAGAGAGATAAATCTGCTGCATATTCTGTCTTTGCTGTTCTGACTTGAACTGCTCAGGAGGCTTAAAGGTACAAAGGTCAATTAATCTCTTGAGTATGCATGCAACCACATTTTTCTGTTGCACAGCCTGTTTTGACAAAATAAAGGAAAGTGGAAGAAAAGTGCAAGGACAAGGCAACAATTATAAGTAACGGGAAGCAGGAAATGAAGGAATAAAGGGGGAGAAACCACTGCTGAGTTTGATTTATTTTTATGAAGACCATGGCAATCAGATCCATTTGGAAATCCACAATCTTTAAGCAGAAAGAAGACTCTTGAACTATGTAAATCTCACATATGAAAATTTTAACAAACCTCAGCCTCCAGTAATTTAATAGGGGAGTAAAAGAGAAAAGGTGTAAAGAAGACTAAAACATTTTGTCATCAAAAGACAGTGGTTATCCAAACATACAGTAATAGCCTGCTAATTTAAAAAAAAAAAATATGCAGAGAAGAGGCAATTTTGACCTAGAAATAGAATCTTCACTTGATTCAAATAAGGAAATCTAATATGTGTATTTTATATTTAATTACATGAAGTTATTTTCATTAAAATGATTATGCACCAGCTGCTTGTGCATAAATGCCCCATGTTGCTGGCTTGTCAGCTGACTTTCTGCACATATTAAATTAAATTGTACCCACATGGCCAGGACTCGACTCTGACAGTGCCTCTGGTAGTGCCATGTGTATGTAGGAGGTTTTGTACACTCAGGACTCGGTGGGCTTTTGGCACATGCAGTGATGAACTCCAGAGGGAATGTGTGGGGTGTCCCAAGGCGCTGGCTTTTGAGGGCATGCAGGGACTACCTCTGCTGTGTGCTCCAGGGGCGTGCCCAGTGTTGCCAAATCCATTACTATTCCAGCTAAGTTTATCTTATTCTGGAAATCTTTGATACTCTTACACAAAACCATTCTCAAATGCATGGAAACCCAAATGTGTGGTAATGTTCTGAAACAGGTCCAGTTTCTTTGCCTTTCTTTTTACACACAGCAGGGCATTTGTTTTTCACATCAGGGGCACATTCCCAACCAAGATACATGGGAGATACTGTGATCAAAATGATGGATGTGAAAGCTAGTTTGGCTCCCAGTTTGGGTAGTTTCACTGCAGGGGCACGGCAGGGGCTGCCAGCTCCTCTTTGTTGGTAGATGAAGTACTTATTGTGTCCCTGTCTGAGTGGATGGGTGCAGAGAGGCCTGCACTGGGCTCTGGTGCTCCATGCTAATCAGGTACAAGCTGATCCTGTCTGGCAGCTGTTTTAGCAGAACACAACAGCACAATTATACTGCTGTGGGGAGAGAACTCCATCCTTCCAGCACCTGTGGGGGTAAACATGCCCTTTCTTTCCTGGAAAACACAGTTGTTTTAATCTAAGTAGCATCCTACATCTAAAGGTTGAGAAAGGCTACAGAAACCCAGGTGCTCACTGAACAAGGAGTGGTCCCAACAATTTATTATTCCAAAACCTCCAAAAACTGATATCTGGAAAGACAAGCTCAGAAATTAATCAAAAGTAATGGGGACACAGACATATGAATGGAAAGGCAATGCTTACAGCACAAACCTGGAACAACCTGCAGACCAAAGTGGGTATATTGTGCATCTGAAAGTAAGAGAAATGAGCATAACAAGCATTAAAGGAGTCAGAAACCATGAGAAAGTCATTACTGCTTTGTCCATTGGTAAACATGCTGGAGTTGCAGATGGACTACATTGTTCTGGAGGTTTTGATTAGGACTGCCTGACCTTTCAGGGGTTAATCTGTTCACAGGTTCATTGGCCTGAGGTGATGGGGAGGTACATATATCAACATATAGACCTCAATTCTCATGAGAACTGATGTTAAGAGAGCACACTTCTTCCTGTAAAAGATTAAGCATGATATAGCAATAGAAGTAGATAAATTAGTTGCATGAAAGTGAGTGCAGATTTTTTCCTGAGTCCATATATGCATGCTATTTGCTTTCATTATTTAAGGATTAACTTCATCTGGTCCCAAAATGAATCATCTCTGGGTGAACAACCACATGGGTATGGTCACCCAGCAACACTACACAGTAATCTTGATTATAAACATTTAAAGTTAGTTAATCCTTTGTGGTTTTCTACTCATTACAATTTATAATCAAGTTTTAACAGGTATAAGAAACACAACTGTAAACTGCAAACCAGATGAGTAAAAATCAGTTGGTGAGCACATTTATCTCTTTTGACAGAAGCAAGCATTTTTGTCCTTGATATGGCTTAATGGCTTTTAGTATTCATTATTTAATAAAACTTTCACCTTTAAATTCAGAATTTGGCCCTTAAAAAGTACCACACTGCTCCTTCACTCTTGGATTCAAAGACAGTGCTAATGTGGAATCCCTGAGGTTGAACGTCCCTCAGAGCAGCTTCACTACTGAATGATGCAAAACTCCCTGAAGTAACTGTATCTTCCAAGGGCTTCCATCCTACCACTGAAGCTCAACGATTAGACTTTATACTTAGTTTTCATCTTTCTTTTGCTGACTTGCATAACTGGAATCGCTGTTCCCATTGATGGAGAAGAATCAATGAAAGCCTTGGGAACAAGTATCAGGGAGAGGGGACAGTGGGTAGTGCAGAGCGAGAGGATGGAGATTTGACACCGCACTTCTGGAACACTGCTAACACACATTGCTCCGCTCGTGAGAGGTTTCGTTTTATTTCTGTCAATGGCCAACACTTAATTCACATGAATGGCATGCCAGTCATCCCTTAATGTCTCTCAAGTCCTGCGTACCCTCTGAGGACTTCAAATAATCATAGCTAGGTCAATTAAGGCACTAAAAATGCCATCGCTTCTTGCACCAAGGCCATCAATCGTTTATAACCGCGGCACTGGGTATTTCCACAGCGCTTCCCGGGGCTCTCTCCAGGGAATGATCTGCGTTCACTCGCACCCCGACGGCCCCGGATCTGCCAAGTCATGCTGCCCTTGCAGGCGCTGCCGCCCTCCCCTCCCGCCGCGTCCGCTCGCGAGATCCGCGCTGCTATAAAGGGGGCGGCGCGGCGGGGCTGCGGCACTCCGGGCCGGGCCGAGCGGAGCCGCTGCAGCTGGGTGTGCGGGACCGGTCTGCGCTCCGAGTGAGTGTGCGGGGCCGCGGGGCTTGCTGGGGGCTTTGCACAGTGTTTGGGTTTTTTTTTTTTTTAGTTTCATTTTATTTTTATGTGTTTTTTGCTACTGTTTTGGGTGGGTTTTTTGTTCGCTTTCCCCTCCCCCTCTGCGCGGATGCGCCCTTGAGCGAGGCGCATAGGGCGAGCCCTTTCTCCCCGCGTCCCGCTCCCGAGGGATCGCGCTGCTGCGGCTGCCGCCTGCACCGCCGTGTTCAGTTTCCCTGGTGTTGGTGTGGCCTTTTTTGGCGGGCAGAGCGAGCAGATAAGCCCTTCCAACGCTCGGGCCTTTATCAGCGCTGCGCGGGGAGGAGCCGCGGGGAGGGCCCGCGGGGGCAGCGCTCGGAGCGCCTGCAGGTAGCCGAGCGGCCCCTTCCCCCGACAAGCGAGGCGGCTTCTCGCTTCTAAGCCTTAAAAAAAAACCCAAACCCGAGCGCTGGCTCGGGGACAAGCAGGGGGCGGCTCCCGCTGTCCCAGAGCGGTGTAGGGGCGATCCGGGCGGGGGAAGGCTCGGAGGTCGCCTCGGAGCCCCTTGGGCGCCACGCGTGCCGCGGTCCGTGCGCGATGCCCGCGGTTCGGTACGGCGCCGCGGCCGCAGTGGCCTGACCGCATTTTTGTGGCAGTCTGAAGGTGGGAGTGGAAGGCTGATGGTGCGTTTTGAAACGGCCTTTCGCTTTTGTTCAAGCCACCCTAAAGGTATGAAATAGCTCATTCAAGAGAGCGGGCCTGGTTCATTATAATTGCAGTTTGAAGATAATTGAGGCCGTCTGCGGCTATGAGCAACAAAGATATTCTGGCCGGATTCGAGTGTATTTGATTTAAGGTGCTCATTGTACTTTCCTCCGGAATGAAAGGAAGTAACAATGATTCTGTGGTCCGCTCCTCTGCGGGTTAGGAAATGCTGTGGCTCA